GACGTGTGTATCAAGCTACAGTACGGGTTGTTTTGTTGTATGGCTGTGAGACTTGGCCCATTCGAGCAGCGGAACTGAGACGTCTTCAGGTGTTCGACAATCGTTGTCTCAGAACCATAGCTCGTGTGGGTTGGTGTCGGCGAATCCGTAACGAGGCAGTTAGAAAGCGTATTTTCGGTTGTGTAACGGGTAATTCCATTAAAGAATGTGTTCAGCACCAGAAGCTGCGTTGGTTGGGACATCTGTTACGTATACCGAACCATCGTTTGCCGAAGAGAGTACTGTTTTCCATGCCCAATTCGGAGTGGGTTAAACAGAGAGGTGGCCAGCCCTTGACTGGCAGAGGGGTATGAAAGAAATCGCGAAACGCTTGGGGGTTGTCGGTGCTACTTCTTTCCGGGAGTCATGCTGTCGATGATGATGATGAACCTAACAAGTTCATGGTTACAAACAAGACTATCATGCTTGAGCTAAAACATGTTGTTATGCACTTATCTGATTGCACCGTAGACGAGGAGAGAGATAACTATTAAGATTACTGTGTGATACATTCTATAAGTGCGGGTCAAATCACCCGTCATGTAATCTAATAATCGTNACACTCTTTCAGTGTTTAGCTGCCATGCCAACCAAGCGATGAACTGTCAGTCAGTAGAGTGGATGAATATATCAAAAACTAAAGAAACAGAAAGATGCGACGTATGGCCAATTTCACTTAAGAAATCCCTTCATCTGCTGGAATGCCAAAGCCTATCTCTGGCGTTGGGATCCAAGATTTGATGACATTCTATTAGCGTTACCTGAACATAGCGCTAGTCCTTTGTGACTTTATTTGTCGGAGTTCCGATTTAATTGAGAATAATAGACGGTTTCCGCCAAATCAAGAAAGCCAATTATTCTGACCCAAACGAACGCTACAACCTCAAGAGCCACAATCGCAATACGGCTGTTAGTAACGATGGCACAAAGTCCAAATTTGCCGCCTGACGCGCACACTTGATATAGCCAACGCTCGTTGTGCTTATCAATTCTATTGGGATTATATTCGATGCTACCTGCAAGAGAAAACTAACTGCATAAACCAGTGTTTCCCTGCGTTTTTTTATCCAATCCATCATCTTGTGTGAGCATGTGCTAAAATATCGTTTCTTCATTCATCATCTCATTACGTAATAATGTCTCCACATGAACAGCTGATGAGTCCAATAGTGGTCGCTGCACCATTTGCATGAACGTTCTATCATGGTTGACTTAGACATAATGAGTTGTGTCTGCATAGAAGGCTTGAGCTGGTTGCTACAACCAAGACCACTCATGATCTCGGTATTGCTGTAGAATAAGCTTTAGTCGCCTGAAGAGAGGAAACAATTAGGTTTACTGAATGTTAAATAGGTGTTCCCTTTTCCTATCAAAGTTGCCCAAACATCGTCTCCAGCTGTATGGCTCAGTCGTTCAGTTGACTGCATTTTCACACAACACACTTTTGTCCTGCAGAAACACCACAGAGAATAATAGCGGTCCAATTCTTCCCTATGTTGTGATTACTTGCACGAAATGAGATTTCAACCTAGATATGCGCAGAATTTATTGTTTCATCCGCACTGAACAGAATAACTTGTACCCTTTCACGCTATCGAGAAGTTGGCCTGGACAGGGGATTACTACATGAGCGAATGCTTCTCAGAACACCCGAAATTGTTATTCAGATGGGTGCATACAGGCACACACATACAATCTAACTTCTATATCACCGTAGTATGACCGCGAAAGTTATATTACTCTCGAGTGTGCTTTGGATTGCGACGGGAGGTTTGACGGCGGAACTCATTGATATTCGTCTTTCAAACTCATTAGGACGATCAGTGTACGTTGGATAGGATGTTCATAGACTGAGTGCATTTGAGCAAGCAGATGTAACAAGCTATGCAGCTCGCGCGTGCAATGGCAGCTACCTTATCAGACATGACCCAGCCGCGCCTTCAATGGCGCTCGTGCATCCAAGCTATTGCCTTCAATGCATGGCTCCTTTTCCAACCCCTCCTCCGACTTGACAGCTCACTGGCAATGCGGGATTTATGCACCAATTTACCAGGTCGCGCGTGCAATGCGCAGCTACTTACCCCCCAATCATCGGTGAACGAAATTGTGGCAGCTACAACCAGTGTACGACGAGTACGCGGTTCTTACAGCTGACAATGATGATGATGATGATGATGCAAACCATTGAATAGAAGGATTCGACTACTGAATGCGGCGAACCGCCTAACGAGAACGCACAAGCCTCCCTAGAATGCAGTACATGACGCGCAAAGATGCACGGCTAAAAAATGGTTTCGGTTTTTTCAAACATTATCAACTAAAGGATGACCCAGAATGGTTTCCGACTTCCCGTGGACGGACCATTCATCGTGGTTGATGATAGTTGAATAATAATGTCGTTGATGCAGGCATTTTTATTAGACGGACCGACTTTTCAAAAAATTGTCGTCAGGGGTACATTAGAAGCACTTGTATCAACCTTTAGTGTAATTGTGTGATTATGGTTATTTTTACTCAACCCAGTTCCTATGAAGGCGTATGCGAACAATTCCTCCTGGGCACTGCTTACTTCAGTCAGGGGGCTAGACTTCAGGCACAAGGATACGACAGAGTAGTTGGTTAACATTAACGGACACTACAGAATCACTCGATAGGATAAAAGTGTGGAGTTGAACAGCCACCGCTCCAACAATGATACCATGATGAACATCTAGGCATTTGTTTCGAAGGTGTAAATGATGTTTATTTTGTTGGAAAAGACACACTAGGCCATGATTGGTTTCAATGAGGCTAAATGGAACGCCATCAAGATCATAGAACAAGATACTATTAGCGCAAGCGCAACTCCGCCGTTGTCTCAAATTTAGTGCCTTAGTTAACCTTAAACTAAGTCCTGGATAGCTCAGTCGTTAAGGTGCGAAATTATGATACATTCAGGTTTGGACAACTTGAGACGATCTTATGCCTCGTGCTTTCCTCGAGTGGTACATAAGCTAAACACATAAAAGATGCCACATTTCCTATTATTGATCTCTTAAACCAATTACTTATCGCGCAATTACCATTTGGTAGAATTCGCAGATTATAGAGTGAACAGACAGGGTAGACATATTCCGAATTCGTACACAAAAAGCACAAGGGAATCACTGGCATTAAAACAGCGGCCGTCACGAGTGAGTACGGGAACATTACAAGTAAGTTCACCTGGTAGGCAGCTTGTTTGCAGGGAGCAGCGGTCGACTGGCCAAGTGAAACAGTGTTGGGAACATGACGCTTCTTGCTTGCTTGTTCCAGCCGCTGAATCTCCTGTGAAGGAAAGAAAGTAGGGACTTCTGAATTTAGAGTGATACGAGAGTTCCCGGAGTTAACAACCCTAGAAGCATGGAAACCAGTAGGTCCTAAAGGGACAAAGGTCGGTAGATATATCACCGAATCCATCCCCGGATAAAAATACCATATGCTTTTGATCGCAATAAATCAGAGCACCTAGGGAGTATGTATCGAGCGAGATAAAAATAGATTGTACCGCAACTACAGCCCAAATTTTTGAAGTGATAGATGGACAAACATGGTTTGCTTCAAGTGTCTGTTTATCAGTTAACTGAATGGAAACAAAATTATTTCTGGAAACGAGGGTCACAATTAAACAAAACGGGCAAGCCGGAGGGAAATTTTGCCCGTGGGTAGGCGGCCTATGCTTCTGTACCTATTTCCTGCCAATAAGTTTTTAACTCACTTTTATGTGGAAACACGAGAATCTTCCAAGGCTTAGCAACGATTCTGCCAGGGTCACCATATACCGTATTTCATTTTATCGTGTTATTCCCAGTTATACCCTAGGAAGGGATAGATGACTCAAGTGGTTAGAGCGCAAATTTACTGACCGAAATGTCCGTGGTTCGAACCCGACCTCTGCCTCTCGACTTCCCCTGTCTAGGCTTGGGCAACCCGGAAGTATTTCAGCCCTCATGCTTGCTTCGGGTAGCACGGCAGCTAGGCACCGGAAGGGTGTTACAGCCGAGCGATACCCAAGGAAAGACGAATCAAGCAGTATGCAGGAATAAAGAGAAGATACATAACGTAGAAGTGTGGAAGCCATGAAGGCTACATTGACACTAGTAGGTATGAAAACAGCATCAAAGGGGAGATGGTATCAGAGTGTAAAAAAATATTTAACAAGCCACAAAGTAAACTTTTTACCTCATGTTCAACGCTGCCAAAAGTCTTATTTGAATATCCAGGTCTCTGGAACCCTGCATGTAATATATTTGCAGTAATTCTACCACGTTCCCCAAAATTCAGACATCAATCCATCGGGTTCACATATCCCGAAATATTGCCAAAGTGAACAACTTTGGTCTCACCTAAAGACATGACCTCATCCTTGACATTGAACGGTACCGTTGTCAGCATTGATTCATGACAAAGTAAATTCACTGAGCGAAGACGGGCCAATACCTATGTGCTATTGACGGAACGAGATTCCTTCGTACGATGTGCAGATGTGAAAACACAGTGATTTCTCCATTCATCATTGCAGCCATTCCTCTTACCTTAAATTGAGTTTAATCGTGATACTCCGTTACGAAGAGACTGAACCTTACCGTGGTGAGGTGGTTTATGTACCTCAGCGACCCATTGAGCTATACTGGGGGTGTCCGCGCGACACTCACAGAGTCTCTCATACCAGGTTGGTCCTCGGGTAGAGGTCTGATGAACACAGTGCCAACACTGATGTTGCTGTCTTCGATGACGATGATAATGACGCCCGTTGGTCCCACGTACCTCATCATCTTCAGCTATGAAAATCTCGTGCTTGCCGTACAGGGGTTGTAGCTGCCACAGTTCGCCGATGATTTGGAGAGGTGGGTAGACAACTGCACATTGGCAGCTGTAGCCGATATAACTGCAGTGGATTTTTCATCAGGGAGATCGAAATGGAAGCTATACAGTAAAGGCAACAGATTGGAGGCATGCACACCATTGGACGCCCAACTAGGCATGTTTGAATATGTCCCTAACCATTTATGGGTTTCGAGGTCCCCATCCAGAGAGGCGGAAATGACCAGCGCAGCTGAGTTTGCTGCAATGGCTCTCATATTTCGCTGTCAATTTACTGTTTGACCTCCCTTCGCTCATTTCCACTTTTCACATGATTGTACGAAAGGGGTGCTCTCAGAATGTCGGTCAACTGGCATACGGAGCACAAGACCAAGCAAGCGCAATCTATGGACTGTGATCAGTTCACATATCACGGGCAAGTTATCTTTTCCGTAAACCATTAGAAATACTTCAGCATTTATCACTCGGTGTTCTCACCGGACTCGAGCAATGTTTCGAATACAAAGATGGTCCGACGTGCTCAACGCGTAGCGGCCAGGTTCCTGAGCCGTATAACTACATGGAGCGTACCACAGCATTTTAAAACCGAACGTTAATAAATAAGCGGATGTCGTGCCTATGCCACAAGTGATGCAAATTTACGTAAAAAACGTCCAGCTGTAGCACCCTTCTGGTGCCTAGCTGCCACGCCATCCGAGGGAAGCACGAGGGCTGAGATACTGCCAGGTTGCCCAAGCCTAGACAGGGGAAGTCGAGTGGCGGAGGTCGGATTCGAACCATGGACCTTCCGGTCAGTAAATTTGCGCTCTAACCACTTGGGCCATCTCGCGAAAGTTGATCTGGCCATCCCAATCCGGATGGAAATATCGTCTTTGGCTACACAACTAGGATAAATACAGCTGCTCAGGTAGACAGATTTGTCTACTACTTCAATCGGCCCATCCACAAGCACCCAAATAGGGTTCGGGCCTAACCAGTCCTGAAAGAGCACCTTAAACTCTGTAGGTCTGAAGTGTATACCGAACTGTGGGTCAGAAGTACTCAGATTATCTATTGTATTCTGCATCACAGTGAAGCCATATCCAAGAGGTATGTTGTCTGTATACTCGACAACTGTGAGGACGCTCTGGGGGCAATTAACGTAGCCATGACGAAGTCACACAGGAAAGGTGACAGATGACATCCTAGCCTAATCACTTTAAGTGGTGAAGCAAAGCGAAAGACTCCCATGAAACTTCACGCATCCACAAGAGTCAAAACACAGAGGCTTCAGAAGGGTTAATAATTCATGGTGGATACCTTCGCTCTATAGACACTGCTAGTGTCTGACGGTCTACAGAGTAGGAAGCTTTCAAGTCAAGATAAGCAGTGGTGGCTGTTGGCCAAGTGGTCCAATTTGGTCCACGGAGGATTTGTCGTTGGAGGCCTCCAGGTTATTCGACGCGAAAATCTATTCTGAAAGTTCGTACTAGCCAGAAATACTTTACGATAGGCATAACTGGAGTCGCTCCCCGTCGTATGTGCGACGAGCATCGATTCCAGATTAACCGCCCATATTTGAGTCCGAGGAACTTAGACCAAGTTTGGCATTTATAGCATGCAACAGGGTCAGCATCAGTGCCGTATCAGTGACGAATGAGCCCGGATGACTTTCGATAGAAAGTACCCTTCTCAGCGTCAGAAATACAGCCCGCTCTGATAAACCCCATTGATAAAACAGACCAGTGGTTGTCAACTGCGGACCCCTTTTTATACTTAAGGGCCTGTAGTATTTGGATACTAGAGATTGGAAATCGTATGAGGGATATTTCATGAACCACACTGAGTAAGGTACCGAGGGTGACCGATGTTGGTGTTCAGGAAAACTAAAACATGACGCATCCATTTTGTGTTCCCAGTCGGTTCTCCGACAGTAAATGGAAGTCTTGGACTAACCAAATGTCTAGAGATCAGGTATTTTTACCAAGGAAACGTTGGCGATGCATAAAATAAGAACAGTGTTGGTGGCTCACCATCAAAAGCGACTCCACATCCGGTTGTGCAGGAACGTATTCCTGAGCAATGTAACGTTTCTGCTCATATTTTGAGCGTATGAAGATTTCGAGTGCAGAATCCGTCTGCGGCCTTCGAAAATTATCAGGTAAACGAGCTTCATAAATTGCTCGAGCACGACTATTACCCATATCACGCATTGTCTAGTTTGAAGTGGGCCATCGACAACTGAAGACTTACTGCAAGTTGCGAAACTGTCCATGTATCCAGGTTGACAGATTTTACTTTGGAAATGTGAACTCCCAAGTTGCGGTGGATTCCAGCACACCTTATACAAAGGAAAACACCTATATTCCAAGACGCCCATCTGGGACCTAACACACTAGGCGCGACAAAATATAGTTACTTACCCTTGGCATCGCAATCAACACAATATTTGTTATCTTCGTCGCGTAAAAGCTCCTGAATAATGAGCTGATGACGTTCGGACTGCAACTTTTCCTGGTCCCTCTTCGCTCCCGTCATCATATACGAAGATGGCGCGTCCAGGCTTGACCTTCAGACCAGTTTAAAATACTCAATGCAATAGATGACATCAATGTGACCACTACGTTGGTGTGTGTTATGATTTTATCCTATTTTTATACAATGAAGTTAATACAGTGAACTGTAGTTTCTTCGGTAAGTAATGAAAATGCTGCTGGGTTGCAAATCAATAGGCTACGGATTCACGGATTGACACATAGGATTGAGCTCCATCCTAGGATTTCACCCAAGTTTCCGATTCGGTTTTGTTTTGTCGATCAATAGCTGCGGTGCACCAAAAAGACAATCGAAAAATGGTGTAGTATTGCTCTCTAAGTTCTCGGCACGGTACAGTAACCCAGTTAGCACCGGTGCAGAAATTTCTGCAGAATGTCTGCACCCGGATGCGAACATTTCCGCACAGTGTCCGCAGGTTTCTGCACCCGGGTGCGGTACTTTCCGCACAATATCTGCACACTTCTGCACCCAGGTACCGAAATTTCTCCACAATATCCGCACAGTTCTGCGCCTGGGTGCAGATTCTGTGCGGAAAGGAAACAAAATTCCGCACCAAATCCGCGCCCGGATGCGGAAATAGTGCATAAGTTTCCGCACCCAGGTGCGTAAAATACGCACTCAGCACCCGAATTTCCGCACTTAGCTAAAGTCGTCGGACGCGCTAATACAGCCCATTATGCGCATATATCTGTTTCCCTAGTACAATTCAGCAACTTTCTAAACACTACGCTCTCATGCCGTGATAACCCATTGGCCCTCACCTAACTGCTCAACGTATTACCTTCCCGGATATCAATAAGCGGCTTCAAGTACAAGTGTTTTTATCAATAAATTAAAAAAATACAGGGGGAAGATACTTTGTCACTCTTGGTGGCTCTCCGCGGGTAGTTCCGAAATTTCTGCCGTTCGTTCTCCAGCCAGCGAAGAAAGATGTTCTTTATTTGTCGCAGATTTGTGTTAGGAAACTTCTCAGTCTTGGTGTCTGTAATGAGGGACATAGATATTGAGTTTCATCGGGACACTGATTCAACCACCTAAATATTAAACAACCAGTAAATACTTACAAATAAGTCCTTGGGCCAGCCTGGTTGACACGAATGCGCCACCTGAGTAGTACGGCTAGCGTTGGTGTCAACGTCCGTGTAAGCACGTCGGTCACGTACATTTGTACATCGTCAACCTCCTTCAAGAGCCACCATTCCACCCTTGTGAAACCAATAATCATTAATACAAATATTGCTTACCAGCTGTGCATAGCGTGGACCATCTCTTAGATGTTCTTCATACTTTCGGAGATCATTCGTGGATGACAGCGGAAGACGGGACTTGTTGAGAGCCTGAGAACTGCTTGTGGGTGCTAAAATGTCCAGCTTCGTATGCAGTCCCTGGAGCAATGAGTAAATCCTCTCTAAATTCTGTATAATTTTAAGTAAAACAAGGTAACTACTCACTGAGAATGAGGTTGGCATTTCCGCGTAAATTACGCTGGCCTTTGGATTTGGAGAGTTAGTTCTAGAAAGTAAAGTACATGGAATGTTGAGAAAACCTGAGGATCGGGGTCGAACTGCGTGGTTCTGGATCGCCAACGGCGGGAGGTGTTGTATACGTGGAACAGCTGATAGATTCTAGATAATGGTGATGAAATAAAATGTACGTTCCACATATCATCGGGGCAGCACGAGGGACGGTGGCGCGTCTTGAACAGGAATTATACTACTAATCGTGGCAGTCGGATTGGTACATCTGAAAATGAGGATTTTACAAATTGAAAAGTTGGTAGGTGCGGGAGGACCTGCAGTCATTTTGAAGTTGGTGGGCTTATTACTATGTTCGCTAACAAATTTGTGTCCCTACTGGAATCACGATCCGACCCGCCTGTAAAATCAGACAGCAGCCGTTTCTTTGTACTGCAACCATCGTAATACGATTGATAAACACACTGTTTGCGCCTGGATCGACGTACGAGCCATTCATCGTTTTGCTCCGTAGATGAGGTATGCCCTTAGTCATGCTGAGCACTCAGTGGATCCGGAAAAGTTTCTAAAACATTTTTAACTGAAAATGAACTTACTGCACTGCCGAAGCACTTCGTACTTGCACGACTTCAGTGTACATTTTGGTAGGGTACACATCAGTAAGCTGGTATATAGAATGCTGACTGTGCACGAGGGCCAAAGGACTGAATCGGGCAGTACGAACCACGATTCATGCTCTATGCCAACAGAGTTTTTCGTAAAAATGAGAACAGCGTACATCGCTGAAATACGACTTACAAATACGATATTTACCAGGACAATGTCCATATGCAAACGGAAGCTTTGATGGAATAACACAACACCAACATAAATATGTATATATATTCTACGAGGTAATGAGTAATACAAGTAATAAATGCATAATTCGCCGACCGCCATTTGTAAGTGTACTAACCAATCGATAAGGGTATGCGAAATGGGGAAGTATATACGAGTGTCTCCGCAGGAAATCTTATCCATTTACAAGATATTTCATCGACTGATGCAAACAGCCGAGTGTGTTGCCTGTTGGTATCAATACGCAAGTGTAAAATGGGAGAATAGTTTAGATGTCTGGCACTCAATAGTATCTCTAGAAATATCTTCAATGACAGCTGGTTGACCATCAAGCAAAATGCATTTTTCGGGAAGGTTCTTCAAAAAAACGACATCCCTATGAAAAAACCTGCGAAATCCGGCAGTGGCCGATTGCCTCAGTCGCAAACCAACATCATCCAAAAATATATTCCTTTGGACAGCACCTAATCCCACACTCTCGGCAAGTCGGCGGTAAAGCTGGACAGCTGGTGCTTTTGGCCTATGTATGTAATGCTTCGAATGCCCCAGCTCTGATTCATAGGGAAAACAGGAAAAACGATCCAACCAAACATAAAGCTTGACAAAATCGAATAAATGGGAGAAGAGGTGTATGTTGTAGACTAAATGACTGAGACCAAAAACAGCAACAAATTTTGACACAGAAACCTTGGAAACGCCAATCACCAAACCAGCATATTATTGTGAAAAAAGGCGAACAGCCCATGAAAGTGGTTACCGAAAAATACATAAGGCATTCGTGAACGTCAGGATGTAAGATATCTCGTAAAACAACAGGTCCCATGTACGGAAGAAACTGTCGTAGCTCAGATGCCTCCCACCGATCCAGGTCTACGATGCCTCAAGATTTTCGGGGGGAATCAACACTTAGAGCCAAAATCTGTTGCTCAATGTTATCATTCAGCAGATTCCAGAACTCCAAAGAGAGCCTGGTCTTGTGTCCAATTGGCGTGACTCTGAGTAGGATGATAAATTTCCGCACTAAACCAAGAAACGCACTATGCATGTAATCTGATGAGTAACCGTCAGTCATGGGAAAATGTAACCCCTCCACCAGACTTGGACCTATGTGTTGCTTGCTTTCTGGTCCGGAAATCAGAGTCACGACGCAAGGGAGCTGTCAACGAGGGGAAAGTCATTCGTGTGCCAGTGTGCCCACCTTCTTATGTACAGTACTCACATCCATAATATCCTGTATGTCCTCGTTTCAGAGGGGTTTGGTAAACAATCGGTGGAACGTTGCCCAGCAATAAATCCACCGATTGTTTACCAAACCTCTCTGAAACGATGACTTCCCAATCGGTCCCAAACATTTTCCAATTGATCCTGTATGTCCCTTCACTTGCTTTAGAAAAGCCCTAGGAGGACTGTCGTAATTAATGCACTGAAGACGGACGGTGTGAATATTGCAAACCCGGAGGCACCGTTTGCCAAAATGTCCGTCAACTCAGCGACCGTGTCGGGCATCAGATGCTGAGCATCGTTGAGTTTTTGCTCACCACAGTGTATTCCCGCGACGAAAGGCTGACCCAGAAAGGGTGAAAATATGCGGGAGAGTATAGGCCACACCTGAGTACGAGAATTATTTTAAGCTCGAATACCCTCAACGCTCATTTGAATATCGATATTTGTAGCCCTAGTTTGAATCTCACGGAGCTGTTGCAGCAAACCTGCTTGCAACCCAAGGTTTAGATAAATCTCACCGGCCTTCTGTTGCACACAACGATAGGAAGTTTTCATTACGGTCCGTGGATCCTTCGGAACAGACGGAAAAAATGTATCTGTGTTCGTCCAATACAACGGCCAAACCGGATAAAGTTAGGTTCGGCCTTCGTGCCATCCGACGAACAGCCGTTCGAATAATTCTACCTGGTTGTGAATTGTTTAAAATGGATACCGATGAAAAGCAATATAAGTGTAAGCAGAACATATGGACTGATCCCATCAACGACTTGCAGTGGGCTGCCTTATGGCAAAAAGCATAAACCGAAAGGTTCTCCAAGGACCGCAGTGGTGAATGTCTTTCTGGTTCCAAAGTCCTGATAACAGGAATCGGAGAAACCGCCGGCAAACCGCTTAATGAATCACAACCTGGCTGATCCCCTGGGACGGTGAAATGCGGCATATCTAAAACCCATAATGTAATTAATCATGAATCTTACCTTCAGATAGTTGACTAAAGGCACTATGGGCGCATTCATCAGCCGGGCAAAGAAAACATCCGCAGCCTCCTGTCGTACTTTTTGATATAGCGTCGTTCTTGAAAAGCATTTACCAGCAACACGAACGAATTTCGGGCGAATTGACGATTACTTGAAGTGAAAAATACGTTCACGTAAACACACCTGGAGTTAAACATATGAAAGCACAACAAAACTCACTCTCAGCCGCACGTGAGGATAAACAGAACGCAGAGCTTCCCGCGAGCAATAACGCAGCACACTAAAACAAAACCACTTAAATTGGTCGAGAGTTTGCATTTCGTAGTGACTCGGAAATGTAGGGTATTGTGGTTTTTTAATACTGTAAGACAAATAAAGAAGCTTTGATGCCCATTAAACGTCTCAATCTCCCGCGGCTTAAAGGCCAAAAGTTAATGCAGAAGTTCTGCACAGTTTCCGCACAGTTTCTGCGTTCAGGGGCGGACGCGTGCTAACTGGGAAGCCTACTACCACAAACGTTCACATAGAAGCCATCCAATGATGCGTTGAGCTGGGAACAATATGGAGCGTATGCGACCGCCGGAGTACGGTTATCCCGCGCAGCGACTAGCCGATATAAAGATAACTTGCTTCATAAAATTGTGCAGTCTTAGCTGAGAAATCTGATCTTGTGCTCGCCGTCCATTAGGTAGGTCAAGTTTGATAAACCTCTTCGCTAAAACTTGTTCAAACAGGGCTTATGTATGAGGTCTCCTCGAAGATGGCGACGATCCATGGGAAGTTGTCAAGCACCATGAAATGCGTTTCACAGTCCACGGAGTAAAAGGCGGCAACCAATTTCGTAGCAAGCCTATAGACACGCTCAATGAGGGTTACGTCTTTCTAGGATCCTTGGTGGACAACTTCGTTGGTATGTTCAAGAAGTGGACTGGCATAGGCCTCATAGGGTACTTGGAAGTCCATGTGAGTAACACGAGAAGTGTTGCACCAAATCATCCGTAGATCGCCGAATGTCTTTTGACCCAATACATCATGTTTGAATAGAGCCAGATACCCAAGTCCTTTTTGGCATCTATCTATGGTACATTCTGTTTCATTTTCACCATGTACGGCAAAGACCTTCGCTGAGTCTCCTGTGAAGAACATATGGGGGCACCTTTTGACATTCAGAGAAAGGTGCCAGTCTAACGATAAATGCTTTGCTGCGCCAATGTCCCCTAAGAGGTCGCTGACATTTGGACCCCAAGATTTCGTGTAGTCCGCAAAATGTAGAAATGAACAAGAAGCTTTAAACGGATTCGAGTATCCACCAAGGGTGTTCTTGAGTTACGTAGATGACACGTTCGTTGTAATAAATTGGGATAAGGTGAACGAATTCTTTTAGCATCTGAACACATAGGACCCTCACATTAAGTTTAGCATGGAGCTAGAGTCCACATCGGGTACACTAGCTTTCCTTGACTGCATGACACACAAGAGTGATGGGAAATTAAAAACCACTCTATACCGGAAATCAACAGATAGCGGTGCGGTCTTAAACTACTCCTCTGCACATCCAAAAGCAGTATATGCTAGTATAGCCTCTGCGATGTTTAAGAGAGTGAGAGCGACCGACGAGCAGCACAACTTGAGGTAAAAAGCGACTCCAAGATAGCGGATACTTAGTGGTTTGATTAAGCAGCAACTAATACGGGTATTAATGCAAACACCAAAGCCCAACAGGGAGTGGATCGGAACAGTGGTCATTCCATGCAAAACAGGGACATCTGAAGTCATTAGAAGGGCACTGAATACGGTTAACATTAGAATAGCTTTCCAGAAGGGGAAAACTTTACGCTCGATATTGGTGCATTTGAAGGATCGCCTCCCGGTTGATAGGACTAGGAACTGTGTATACAAAATAAAATGTAACGACTGTACAAAGGTTTATCTAGGGCAGACAGCCTGGGAATTGCACAGCAGAATCGGTGGGTATAAGCGTTCCATTAACAAACCATAGAGAAACGCAGAGGAATACCAGGCATTAGTCAAAGATTCAGCAATGGCATGGCATGCTCTAGACACTGGGAATGGGATAATTTAGAAAATGTGGACATCCCTAGACGGGGTTTAAGATTCACACTACAGCGACTGGTGGCCGAGGCGGTGGAAATCGCCAAGCATTCCAGTGTGAATAGAACAGAGACGGTAGAACTTGCAAACTTGTGGAGAGTGGTCTTAGGTCAGCCGAGGTGACACGAGGCGGTGTGCAGTTATCAGAAAAATTGCCCGAGGTCTAAAAGTGCAAAAATCCAAGTAACGTTGGACCCAATTAACCAACCCAGCCCATTCCCTAACTAATTGTCCCAGCACCCTTGGACGAACAAAGGTGAACAAAATATGTGAACGACCCCAAGAGGAATTTTCCATTAAGGTGTCCTAGACTGAAGAAGCAGGGACGAGAAAAAATCCGGGTTCATCCTAAAGACGAACCAATCTATCGTAAAGCTTAGTCATCCCCATTAATCAAAAAACAGGGAGATCAGACTAAACACCCAGCACTGATCACGTCACTAGTCATAGTGAACCTCACGGATTGCCCTGATTGCCTTAGAATTCAATCATCCTACTTACTCACTCACTTGGCCTGACGAAGCTTTTGTGTCAAAAGCGAAACGTTGCCCAGCAATAAATCCACCGATTGTTTACCAAACCCCTTTGGTACGAAAACTTCTCGAACATTATTTTGGTAGGGAAAAATGTATTGGTTTCCTACTTAAAGCACCTGACCTAACCTAGTGCGTAGCTCTTGTACTTCCTGACGGCCATCGGGTAGCGTTAAAACTTCACACTTATTGACCCGCTAAAATTATTTTACTTTTAAATTATCTTCCAAGTACATAGTTTTTTCGTGACGAATGCAGCGACTACATGTGTGATTGAACAACTCAAAAATTAGTAAGTTATGTCATCTTCCAAAAAATTACTTACAACGGTTGCCCAGCTTAGCGAATAAGCCAACATACAGGGGTATTCTACCATAATCCTAGTCCAAAGGGAAGGGATTTAGCGCGTGTTTGAACACAACAGAACGTTCTTAACTGTTTCAGTCACTAGACCGCACTGGCCAATACGTCTGCAGATATTGCCCACCTGTCCTGCGTTATCGCCGTTTGCGGTGCTGCATATCCATTTACTACGTATGAATGTATGAATACAGGTATGTAAGTCATTAAAAACCAAACGATTTTTCATGGTACAATTAACCGTCTACCGAGATAAGCATTGAATGTTCTTCACAGATAAGGTCTTTAGTCAATTATTAAAAGCACACCAAATTTTTCGGCTTCTAATAAACTGACACCTGAACGCCGAAAAAGTGCCTGGGTTTTGCCTCATGAAGAGGGTTTACTTGTTGGGCTTGGTGCATTAAACACCTGTGGTCCATTAAATAGCTTCCACTTCGTTTTACCGAAATCTTTGGAGCACCGTTCATTTTACAATAACGTACCTAAAACATTACACCAAACGACAAGCAAGGTCAAAAATCCTACGGGTTGCAAACGTCCCCCTGATCAGTAGGCTGTACTGAAGTTGCTTGTGCCAACTTGTGCCTTTGCAGCAACGCATCCATCATGGTTCCCCATTCACAGAATTACCTATTTCTTGGTTGATGTACCTTCAAAAGTTAATCGGTTGCCAATATTATTTATTATGACATAGGAATTAGCGCCAAACTATTCTCAATCCTCGAGTGCCCAGACTTATACACTGCCGATTGAGACTTTCATTATCACATGCATGTCCGTGGCGTATACGTCTGCAGGCGTAAAAATAACACTAAAAATAATGTTAATTTTCAACTGGCAGGTGGCATACCGTCAGACATGATCAATAGGTTGCAGTCAGGCTACAACATCTGATAAATTTGATGGGTACAGAACATTGCGCGGAAAAGAGACAGTATCGTAAGCAACGTGCATAATTCGATGTGGACTTTGCTAACATAAACCATCTCGGGCGGGCAATCACGATTACTACTGCATGTTCACTCCTGCAAAAATGCCGAGCTGAAGCAAGATCAGATCGTCAAAAGGGAGCGGGCAAAAACAAAACTAGAGAGAGCGAAAAAAGGGAATTTTGAACGACACATGACAACGAAATTGCAAACTGTGGAAAATGAAGTACTGGAACGGAGTAGTAACGAGGATAAATGGTAGCGGGAATCTCATAATAATGGTGTGCATTCAAGCTGTAGAGACTCACTGGTGTAGCTGTTGTAGTCGTTTCAATTGTGAAAAAGCGCCTATGGAGAGTTAGTGGGTGACAACACGCAAGTCGGACCGAGAACTGCACAGAAAATTATTGGCTTTATGGGGAGCACAAAACTAAAGTACACCGAAATGGCTAAATCCAAACAAAATGTACAGCAGATTAGGTTAAGCGCGTATTGGAGGTGGCTGAGGCCAGGTTGAGATAGTTGAACTTTCAAGTCTTTGCACAGATATCCAATGTTCACAACAATAATGGGGACACAGACCGCATCCTTATAACACAGTTTTCAGCGGGGTAGCACGGCTCTGAGCGTTCTGTGAACGACCCGATTAGCTTGTTACAAAGTGAGTTACGATATATATATACGCAGATTGTATCTTCTATCTCATCGCACACTACACTCTGGGCGCCTTTACACCTTTGCAGACGAATTTATAAAAATACCTTTAGCCTTCTCGTTTTGTCTTATCCGAGACTATATGGATTAGAGTTTTTTGCCTTCAGTGTAGGGTAGCCAGCTTGGCTCATATTTGGATGCGTTGAATGCACTGCACTGGCTCTCAGCAGCTATGCACATTAGGATTTTACCATCAAATTTATTTGACATCTTTCAACTTTAGTAGGGAATGGAGAAACTGGTTTTTCGCACATCAGGTAAAATATTATTAGGGCGGCTGACATTTTGTGCCATTCTCCTCAGATAATAATTTTCATGATAGTCTACTGCATGAAAAATCTACTTCAAGTAAAGATAACACTTATAACAATGTGTATTTATTTTGTATGCCCAAAAGATGTAGGAAGCTAGAACAAGCGGACATTTCTTTCGTCGACCGGTTCACTAAAATTCATGCTTACGCTGCTCTTCTCCGTAAAATGCCATAAATTTCTGTGTAACCACACACTGACGTTTCTCCATTTTGAAAATCCCCTGGAGACCAGGACAGGCAGTTGGAACCACAGATATTTTTCCCTGTTTAAAATCACTGTCTCCATATTAAATGTGTTACATTACCTTGATCTGAACATGAGTTATTCCAGCATGTCTCCGGGGCAACCAGTTGCAGTGCGGTGTCACATAGCTTTGCTACGCATATTTCCAGCAGTAAACAATCAGTTTAAATTGAAACAGTTTTGATAACTCGTTGCATGACTCAAAGAGGTCGAGTCAGTTAACGAGTTCCGAGGAGGCAGCTACAGCGCCTTCATTAGGCTAGAAATTTTTGCCATATATCAGCTGACAACGCTTTGATGACAAACAACCACGCTTCATGTGTTTCTGTGCAGTTGTGCTAACTAACCACAGCTAAATTTTGACTCCTGTGAGGGCAAGAATTGAATAACAGAAACTGGTCAAATAGGTTTACAAAAGTGAAACATAATCAGTACTCTAGGCTCCCCCACACCCATCGTCTCGTTGTGCACCACAACCCTCCATACCCGTTGACGATGCAAACGACTGCTCGCCCCAAAACTCCTCATTCAACTGCACGCTTCAATTCCAGAGGTATTACCCAACCTTAATGAACATCACATTCTACTTTCTACAGTTGACTCAAACCCACTTCGCCTAGCAAAAACCCGGACACCAGTACTGAAAATATTTCAACCAATATCGAACACAAAAGTCAAATCTACTTTATGTACACTAACAATCTTGACCTTTTCCCACCTAGTGCTGAACTCTAACGTAAAATTCCTGATTTGTACAGTTAATGGAACTATCAATAATGTTGTCTGACGCCCGCTTACTGCTGCCAAAAGCCCACGATCTCCGAACCATTATTGCCTTTGCACGACCAAGTCAGACTTGCGTGACTAAACTGTGGCTCTCGTTTGAAGATCCAGACACGGATGTTCCATGCCCTGGTTAAAAAATCCACCGCTTTGACAGGAGAAACTCAAGGGGTAGAGGCTGTGAGATCTATTCCGAAAAGGAACTTTGTGCAGCCCCCATCGATGATTTTGGAGGCCATTTGAATTTCCATTGAACAGAACAACTGTAAACATTTACTGAAAGTCCAAAATATGCATTTGTGAAGCTTGCACTCCAGAAGAGCCAAAATGGAAACAAATCTTTTCATATTTGAGAAAAGTGATTCAAACCTGATATAAATTATGTTTTGGAGCCACGCCGAGGACGAGGAAAATTCTTTGCTGGCCGTGAAAGCGAAAATCGAAACATGCGATCTTACTCTTTGATAAAATTTTGCGTCTTTAACTCAAACAAGCTCAAAAATGCGTGTGTCCCTCCGGATAAACTTACCTGCTTGGGACGACTGAGACTTCAGAACAACAAAAGCAGGCACTGGGGTTTCACAAACCAATCGTAAATTCTACTTTACTGCTAACGGTGACTGTATTACCACCAAGGAACCGCAGTGTACGTAAGTTGATCCTCAACTAAGAACAGAGTTAAACACCAAGGATAAACTTCTACCAGCAAACGGAAGAATCGCACGTCCATTTGTTTTTGCGGACTAGTTCACAGATTTTGATTAGCGGCTTGACAGGGTCAGGAAACCGCCCTTCCGGATCTGCAACCGTGACAGATGAGATTTCCTCGATTTCTTTGAAATCTTATCCCGGGGGTGTCCCAAGCAGTGACTGACCTTGGCGAATACAATAAAACGTGGGAAATGTAATAATTCCAAAAAACAAAGAAATTAAGTTACGCCTCTGTCAGGTTTGAGGCCTTCTTTTAACATTATTGCATATTGTTCACGCACAAAATCAACGGTTACGCCCAACTCGTGTGGTGGCATAACATTAAGCATGATCCTACTGATATGGTGATAATGAGCGCACGACTGACATCAGTTTTGTGTGTCTAGAAATTCAATGAAGCAGGTCCTTTAGATAATGGAGATCACTCGAAGAAATGGATGCCATTCTCAAAATGGCATGATTTGCAAACATCGGAAATTGGGGACCAGAAACAGATTGTGAGGCATGCACCAAACTGAAGATCAGACCGAGGTAATTCAAAGATGGCAAGCAAAACACAGATAGAGAAGGTAAGATTGACGGGTTTCTCTTAGCGCGTGAAAAAGTGCATCGTTTGGGGAAAAGGATATTCGAAATACGAATGTATAGAAGTACTGGCATCTTACTGAATGGGCAGGTCCTATGAACTACAGGTTAAAACCAATGCTGGGGCTGCGTGGTTCACAACATTTGAGTCATTGGTCGGGGTCACGGAAAGCATGATCTGAGGTGGCGACATGGATATATTCACCGTAGGGATAGGTGATAGATTGCTTCTCATAGCGATGGTGTACAGTAAACCGGGATAGTCTCTTGTCGCTACCTGCGAATATAAGTCAGGCTACAGGTGAGGCAGTGTTGTAATAAGAATTCACTTCGGTGATCGGAAGACGGATTAAAGACTCGCCACCCAAATCGCACACGGCTGGTTGTAGACTCGCCCAGTGATTCTGGTGGACTCCACCACCTAAGCTGCAGTGGGCGTGGTGGCTTTGTCTATATGGCTTT